TTGAGATGTCCTTGTTATGGGGCCTGCCTTGCCTCTCTGCTGACCCTGCAGGAAAGGGGAAGTCACATAAGGAGAGTAGGATGGGGATAAGCCACTCTTCTGGAAGGTGCTTGCAAGCACCTTCCCTGGTTTCAGCTGTCTTCTTCAGAGCATGCTCCCACAGGAAATGCTGAGAAGCAGCTCACCAAAGAAAAATACATCCAGGGCTTCTTCCTTCAATAGGAAGGGATCAAAATGTTAAAAAATGATCATGCTAACTGTGTCAGTAGGAAGGTGTGCCTTGATGTGGAAAGGAGAAAGAAACAACACAGACAGTAGATTTTTCCCAAAAGTATACCACAATTTTGACGTGTTATTTTCTGCCATACTTGGAAAACCTAACACAGGGAGGTGCTAGCCCATAGTTTGATGTGCCTAGGCACTGATACAATAGAAATAAATTAGAATTTACCTAACGGGAATCAAATGTGGATGGTCCTTAAGGGGGCTATGGTAGGGTGTCAGTATTCAGAACAATTCCTAGAACGGGACGGAACATGAATACCACAAACAGCATAGTAGTTTGAAAGGATAATTACCACTGGAGGTTGGTGGAATTGATGTTCCTAAGTCAGGAGCTCCAAACCCCCATTTTGCTGTGTTACAACCCCACCACGTCACGTTTCCTCATGTCATGGAGGCTGCAGGAATAGCCACTTTCAGGAGGTACAGGACTTGGGACAGGCAGCACAGCAGCTGCTGGCAAGCAAACTGAGCTGCTGTGTGAGTACCACTCACCTTCCAAGTAAGATAAGGAGTTTTCTTTGAAAGCCAACAGCGTCATCAGTGGAGTTATCTGCTCAAAGCTACACAGGCTTTTGCACCACACCTGCACATTAGGTGACAACAAGCAGATGTTGGACCGTGCATCTGAAAGTGGGCAGCTCTTAGGCTGCTTTAGATCTATAGAAGGAATTGTCAGATTTATAGCAGTCTTTGTCCAATTCCTGAAAAACTTAGCCCTGTTTATATCTGAACAGGGATTTGTGAGAAGCCAGAGCCCATTAGTACCCTTAAAGAAAAAAAGCAAGAGTGGGAGGTGCTGATGTTTCTTTGCACTTTTGTGAAGCTAAAATGCTGGATTTGTGCCACCGCCTCTTATGGCAAATTCATGTGTTTATCCAAGTGAGGACTTAGATGATTTAGGGTTGTGTGTAAAGGGTGAGGCGATGTCAGGCAAACAAATTTCTGCAGTGGGAGGTCAGTGTGAGTCCCAACACCTGCAAGATGATTCTCCATCCTCATTTCTAGCAGGGCAAATAAATTCCAGAGCCAGACCTTTGCCAACAGTGTCATGTGGTCTCGGGAGACACTTTCTAGACTGTTTGGAGGTTGCTTCCTCCACCTGACAACCCATAATTTTACATCTGAGAGGTGAAGAGATCCACAATCTTTATTGGGAGTTATGTTTCTTAGCAGCTTCAATGATTGCTCTGTAGAACTGTTGCTTTGAATAATGTATTACCCATTGCTCTATTTTTAACCCCATAAATTATTCTCAGATGAGAAGCATAATCCTTTTTTTTTTTTTTTTTTTTTTTAAGGAAAAAGGCAGAATCAGTAAAAAATGCTTCAGAAATCAGACGGGAACATTCTTTTATCCTGTCTGAATAGTGTGCAACTTTCAAGTTAGTTACAGGAGATCAAATTAATTTCTGGTGTAAGTTAACGGGAAGCCAGGTGCATAAATTGGAAAAGAAAATAAGAATAACATAATGAGAAAAGAATAGTTCTGGCACAACACCTCACCAAGGGATATGAGTGGTGCCTTGGGTTGAATGTTGTTTGAAAGCGGCATCAAAGGTAGATTAAAGTCAGGAGTATTGTGGGAGGAAATGGATAACCAGCACAGCAGGAGCAGTTACTCCAGGGGCTTTCTGCTGCTTGTATGTGCACAGCTGGGGCCTCTAGGGATGGGGCTTATTTTGGAAGAGATGAAAGGTCATGTCAAGTTGATTTAGTGCCTACAAATGCTGGTGGTATGTTGTTTAGTCCCTAATCTGTCAGGTAGAGAACAAGAAGCTTGTATTGTTTGTTCAACTGAAAAATGCGGGTTCCCCACCACAAACACCAATTAAGAGCATTTCTAAGAATAGAAATCTAGCTTGATGTGCATGTTTAAAAAAACTTAACTTCACAACGAGGCTCAGGCTTCTCTGATTGTAATATATACTCAGAATGTCCTGAAACTTAAATCAGTTCTAGATTCCTGGTGAAAGATAATTTTTAATGCATTTAATTTCCATTTTGTGGCACAAAACTGAGTTCTTTAGTGCATTGCACACTACTGGGACAAGACACACAGTACAAAGAGCACCAGATACAGTAGTTCCCTGCAGTCCTGTAAAGTTCTATACAAAAAGGTACAAATACTGGAGGTATTAAATTTGGAAAACTAAATGCAAAGGTTTTTGGTTTTAAGTTTGCAATGTGAAGTAGAGCCCATGCTCTGTATAACATAGGAGGAAAAACCAGTCTGTTTTCAAAATGGAAAGTCTGCAGGGAAAGAGAAAATTAGCAACTGATGAAAGTAAATGAGTAATAAACCGGGCAATAATACAAAATCCGAACATACATAAAAAGCTTAATCACAATCTATATATAGATTTTACATCTCAGGAACATAATGTAACATATTGCTTCTCAAGGGCATCTCTGACTCTCATAATACCCTAGATTTGTACTAGAAATCCAGATTCTCTAACAGTTTATTCCTTGCAATAAAGCAAGTTACCTCATTTGAAATATTACCACAATTCTCATTTAAACCATACAAAGCTCTCAGATGAAAGGGAGTAAGCACAGCATTTTCACTGATGCCGTGAAGGTGACTCTCACAGGCAGGAGGAGCACAGGCCATTGCAATGTTCTTCAGTAAACTGCACATCCATACTGAGCAGATTCCTGAGCACGGAAATTTTCCAGCTCGGAGAAAATGGCTAGTTAGTCCTCTCATCCTTCAGTGCTGACCCAGTGGTGTATAGAAGTGCAGATGCCCTGCTCTCACACAGCAGTGAGTGAGGAAGTCTGGCAAAAGTACTGACTGTGCAAAAAATGCCCCACCTCTTCTCCCCGTGAGGCTTTGGAGAGATTGTGTTTTTCTTCAAAGTGTAATGTAAACATTTTCCTGTAGTTTTTATTTCATGAGAGATAAGTTTTTTCAGCAATTACTGCACTGAGCCCTGGAATAGCCATTACTTCATAAAATGGTGGAAAAGATGTGCCCTGGTCTTCCTTACGTAGGTATTTTGGGGCAGCTAAGACAGCAACATTTCTTAAATCATTAAATTGTTATTCTGCTCAGTGAAAAATTCTGTTAGTCATAAGCAAATATGCTTATGTCATAAGCAAATATGCTTAAAACTGCTGTACAATACTGTCCAATGCTCAAACATAACAAATCTAACCAGAAGTAATGCAAAAAAAGAGCTACATCCCCTAGCGTGACCAGGAGAACAGGACTTGCAAAAAGAAAACTAAGAGGAAGCTTGAGAGGTATAAAGCTGTGAAAATACGTATGTAAGGCCATATGGTTGCTGTCTATAAATACACTAAGAGGAAAATGAAATATTTAAGCTAAAGAACAGTGTTGGCAAAAGTAAAAAAAAAAAATCTGGTATAAAGCAGCCATTAATAAAATTGTGCTAAAAGTTGTGCAAGCCTTGGAGAGCAGCACAGCTCTGGAATGGTCTTCAGGAGGAGGGGGGAGCAAAAATGTGACTACTTTTAACATGGAGTTAGTTAAGTTTATGAAAGGAATTCCTGTGCACTGTGTAAAGTAATTGTCATGATAATAAGAACATCTTAAATTTCAGTACTTTATTTATTTAGTGTCTTTGATCAAAAGCACTTAGATAAAAATGCAATAATGAAAATTCCTTTCAACCAGTACAATAAAGTTGGAATTCCTTGGGTATTTCATTTTCTTTAGTAAAATGCAATTTGGACACGTTCCAGTCAATATTTGCAGAAATGACAGAACATCAGCCCTACAAATAATAATAAATCTAGAATATAAGATAAGCTATAGGTTATTGAAATGATGTGTTGCAAAGTTAAATCCAACCTTTGCAATGTTAAACTAGGAACAGCTGAGGGAATTTGTGACTCTTTGGCAAGTCTACAGGTCTCACCAAATAACTGCTCTGGAAGTCTCTGGTTTTCAGCTCTGTAAATCTACTGTTTATGAAACTGAGATAAAACCACTGCTTGAAACTGAGTTCTCCAAAAGCCCCAGCGAACAGACAGAGTTTGGAGTGTCCTTTGCACCAGTGAGAGAATTGGCCACCCTTGCAGCATGTAACCTGGCTGGAGGGTGTGTGCTGCCCATGCCACCTCTTCCTCCCCTTGTTTCTGTCTTGGTGTTTCAGTTCAGCGGGTGACTCACGCTGCTCCGTGTGTTAGGGGGCTGTTTGTGGGTGTGTCATAGCTTACACACCTGCACTATGAATCAGGACAGGAGGACTGAATTTATTCCTGGGAGTCAGCATAAATTGAATTGAACCGGCCCTATCCAGAAGTGCAAACCTTAGCAAAATGTTTCAAGTTTGGACACTAAATTCAGGTTATCTAGGTCTACCTTCAGGTATATGGCCACTTATATGGCACTTTCAGGGACAGCAAGTAATGGCTTGCCAATTGACTTATAACTTGTGCAGGCTGTGTTGAAAATTGGTAAGGTTGGAAACAACCTTTTCCCCTCACACTTCATGGCCTAAATCAGCTACTGATGTGAGGGGAGGGTGTTCAACAGAAATGGTGGGGGTGGGGGAGTAAGTTATTTCACACTGTGTATTATTCTGTCATAGATCACTGGGCAAACAGAAATCTGATCCTGGGTGCTCAGCTTTCTGGTTTTTAGGTGGAGCTGATACAGCTTCAAAAGATCCAGACCAAGCTGCATACTCTAATAGCCTAAATGAGGCAATTACCTATTCATACCATATTTGCTTTATTTTGTTGGTTGAGCCACCCTTTGTCATGGTTTAAAAACACAGTCTTCCAAACAAGACAATTTCAGCTTTAGCATTTTAATTTCTCTTCTAACTAGCTTGAATTTAATTTCTGCACCTCTCTAGTCTTCCCAAGTAAAACAAACAAAAAAATTAATTGGAACATTATATGTAATGAATGGGGTGGAAAAGCAGTAGGATCTGAAGAGAAATACTGTTCTGCCCACTGAGTGCCAGTAGTCTGTTTTCTAGCACAGATGTAGAAAGAGGAAAGCAGTGGCTTCTGCCCGTTGACTCCAAGTGTTTGATCTCTGTACGACTGTGTAAGGGACGAGACTGAGCACTCAAAAAACAACTCTATGCAGATTCATTATTACTCTTTAAATCGCATATGATCTGTTCTCTCATGTTGGTTTTTGGTTTTTTTTTTAAACAAGTACATGCTAGCCCTTGAAAGGATTAAAATTGACTACATCACAGAAGTAGGTAGGAGGATCTACCCACAGATAGTGCAGTATTAAGCTCTTTATCTGTTCCCTTCTTAGGCCCTTATACTCTCCCTTAGCTGTAAATTGAGAGTTTCTTTCTGAGTGAAAATGGTTTTTTTGCTTAGAGATTCCTTGGCAGAAATTTTAATGGAATTGTCTGTCATCAACACCTGCTTTCAAGCTTTACTGATAAAATTAGATTTTATATCTCAGCATCACATATGGCATCTTTATAATTAGTCTTTTTGCAGTATATGAATGTCAATTCCTAAAATGCTGCCTGTACTGTTCATGTGGGAATATTTCACTTCATTAATCAAATCCAAGTTTTTCATTGGTGCTTCTAATTGTTTAAAGCCTACATCTTCATATGTCTAATCTCAAAACCTTTTTGATGGACTGATACAACACATTTGCAGCTGCATGAGGACCAAGCTGTGAGCAGATCCCTTCTGGAAATGGGATCCTGAGAGCTCTAGATGGGCCTCCATACCTAGAGTCACTTGTGGGAATGTAGTCTTTGAATATGTAGCTACCTGAAAATGAGGGGTGGCCTTCTTTAGAAGGCTCAGTATTGACCTAATCTTGGAAACAGAGGAAGGCCTATGCCCAGAAGATTCTGAAAAATATCATTATACATAACATTTCAGAACAAGAACACCCAGATTTTAACACACATACTCAGGAATAAGCAAACTCAGAGGTGTTTTCAGGCAAGTGATGATCAGAATTACTGGTCAGCAATATAGGTAGAAATGTTCCTGTATCAGTGACTCACAGGTGGCTGTTTCAAACCGTTGTAAGGGAAGTCTTATACTAGTACAGACACCAGTATAGGTGATAGGTGATTTTTTTCATTACTCATGCCACAGCTGAGAATTTTTATTCCACTTGGGTACATTAATTTCTCTGCTCATATGAGAAAATTCACAAAGTAACAGATCATCACTATACCACTAGCAGTAATGGCATGGAAGTGGTAACATTTGCATGGAAAAGTCAGCACTTAGTACCCTTATGCAACAGGATGAAAATGTGCAAACTCTTAACTTGTAATAGAAATGTCTTTAGTTTCTCAAGTGCAAAGTGCAGTGTCAGCAACACTATCTTCTAGGAAAAAAAAAAAAAAGACAAATAGGAAAACATTTATAAACATAGCTCTTGGTAGCTCTCATGCAAACTGCTGTCAGACTTGTACACTAATGCAGTGAATCATTCAGGCTCAACTCACTGGGGGTACTCCTGCTCATATTGGTCAGACTGGCCATAAGGGATTTAACTTTATAAGCATAGTAGTCCCTTAAGTTGACAGATGGAACTTCTTTCATGCCGTCACCAAAATCACAGCTTCTCATGGCACTCTCTAACTGCTTCTGGCGCCTATAGAAGTGGGAGAATTTATTAAAGATCAGTGTAATGGGAAGCACTACCACGAGGATACCAGCTAGGATGCATGCAGATGCCGTCAGCTTGCCAGCAGTGCTCCCTGGCACCACATCCCCGTAGCCAACGGTGGTCATGCTAACAGTAGCCCACCACCAACAAGCAGGGATGGTGGCTAACCCCTCATTGTCTTCTTTCTCAATGGTGTAAGCCACTACTGAGAAAATGGAGATGCCAACAGAGAGGTAGAGTAAAAGAAGCCCCACCTCTCTGTAGCTGTACTTCAGAGTGGCTCCAAGAGACCTGAGACCTGTGGAGTGTCTAGCAAGCTTTAATATGCGGAAAATCCTCATGAGTCTCAGGACTTGTGCAACTCTGCCTAAATTTGCTAAAGTTGGGCTACTTTCCACCACCAAGTTGACAATTAGTGTAATATAAAATGGAAGGATGGACATTAGGTCAATCAAATTCAGGGCATGCTTGAAAAATTTTAAAAAGTCAGGTGCTACTGCAAATCTTGCCACCAGTTCAAAAGTGAACCATGCAATACCAAAATGTTCCACGATTTCAAAGCGAGGGTCTTCCTCGGTGTTCCCGTTGCTGTCAACAATCTGGAAGTCTGGGAGGCTGTTCAGGCACATGGTCACAATGGAGCCCAACACCACCACTATTGAAAGGACACTGAAGATGCGGCTTAAAACCGAGTACCCAGGATTATCCAAAGCAAGCCAGAGCTGCCTCCTGATGTTTCCAAAGGGCTGTTTGTCAAATTTAGAGGCATCATTGTAGAATGCCAAAATCTCATCAAAAGAAGATGTCGTACTTTCCTGGTCACTTTGTTCCTCCCATTTCTCTTGGTCTGGCTCCATTTTCCTCCCATGGTAGCTATAACTGCAGCAGGAGTCTATAAAGAATTCATTGATTCCCCAGTATTCAATCTCCTGGCTGAAAGAGAAGACACAGAGTTCACCCATCACATGGAGCTTGCCAGTGTTATAAAAATGTAGCACATAAGGAAAGAGCTCAGGGTTCCTGTCAAAATAAAATTCATTCTTGGTGTCATCATAGTCATCACAAAGCTCCAGTATCGACTCCTTTGAGTGGCAGCTCAACAATTTGCCCAGCCTGGTCTCGGGGAACCTTAATAATGTGTTGGATCTCATCTTTTTCTTAAAGCCTCCAACGTTGATGCTGATCTCATTGTCTTCAAAATTCGCTTCAGATAAAGCGCTCAGACTCTGCCCTGTCATAGTGAGCTCCTTCCAAAGGTGGGTAGGGAATGAAAACCTAGGATACAATTACACAGAAAGTTGGCAAAACTAACAAATCTGCAGCATGTTCACCTATTGATATTCTTTCTTTCTTTCCTTCTTTCCCTCTCCTCCCTTTTCTCTCTTTTCCCCCATTCACTCACTTTCCCTCCCTTTTTCTCCCTCTGCCCCCGTTTCTCCCCTTTTCCCTCTTTTCTTTTCTCCCACCTCCCACTGAAGACCTTGAGGGAGGCTCCTTTGTTCCCGCGGCAGGCTCCTGTCCCTCCCCTCGCCCTTCACCTGGGCTGCGGCTGTCGCTCCCACCGAGCCCCCGTTACTCACGGCCTTTGTGCCACCGGGGCGGCGCGGACCTTTCCCTCCCTCCCGCCGCTCCCGACCCCACGACACCAGGAGCCCCGGCCGCCGCCCGGGGTCCCGTCCCACGCCGCGCCTCAGGGCCCGGAGCCCCGCTCGCCCCGCGGGGAACCCGCCCCGCCCGGCTCCGCGGCTCTCCGAAGGGGTGCCGGTGCCGGGCAGGGCAGAGCAGGGCACGGCAGGGCAGGACGGCCCCGCCGGCCGCGCGGTGCTGAAGGGACAGCGGCCGCCCCGCTCAGCGGCGGGAGGCGGCGGCACGCCCGCTCGTCATGGCGACGACCCCCGCGGCTGCCGCCCGCCCCCGCCGCTCCCACCTACCCCCGGCCCGACCCCGCCGGCAGCGATCGGGCCGGGTGGGTGGGCACCAGGGCTGCGGAGGGGCGGCTCGGCGGAGCCGGTGTGCCGGAGGTGCCTCCGCTCGCTCACTCTCGCTCTTGCCCCCGCGCACCGGCGGCAGCGGCGCCGCAAACTCGGGTTTCCTCCCCACCGCGATTCTGCTTCACGCCGGCTCCGAGCGGCACAACCTCCCGAGGGGGGACGGGGGACGCCCACCCACGGCCGCAGTGGCTCCGAGCACCCGCGGACCTTCTGCCGAGGGGCGTCGCCCGCCCCCGCCCCTCTCCCCCTCACGCTGCCGGGAAGGGACCGGGGGTGCGGGTGCCGCTACCCCGCCCGCCCATGGCACCAGCGGGTCCTCGCTGTGGCGCCTGAGCACGGTCCCTGCGGAGACAATAGGAAAGACGGGGACACTTGTCAGAGCAATTTGGTGCGAGGGGAGCGGAGCTGCGTGTTGAAGCTGCTCGCCGCCCCCTCAGTCGCCGGCTGGGAACCCCCGACCTCCGCACACAGCCCCCCCCCGCCAGCCATTTCGGGGGGGGAAATCGTGAGCGGCGGCACCTCGAGCAGGGAGGGTGGGAGGGCTGACCTCCTTGCGCTGCTGCCCTTGTCGGGTAGACTTTTCGTGCTAGCACATGGAACAGTGTCCAGCTACATGGTCAGCGATGGCAGTGTCCCTGCCCACGCTGCAGGCGACTGGGAAGAAGTCCCCTCTGTTGCTGAGCCCGGGGTGAGGCCGAGTTTCTCGGGGGAAAGGGTGATCGAGGCAATCCCTGCTCACCTGACCCCGCCCTGAGCAGGGCCGGCTGTGCAGAGCGCAGATGCTCCGAGACAGGTGCTTTATGCCGGGATAACCCACATCGCCTCCTGCCAGCTGCCTCCTGACCGCCTCTCACTCGTGGTCCTACGCATCCTACGCATGTGAAGTCCGGCTCCTGGAGATGCACTGCTGTCAGTGCTTTGTAGGGTTAGGGTGTGTAGGGGGATGAAGATTCCTTTCTCGCTTCCCACTAGCCCTGTCAGAGCCCTGAGCACTCCAGCCCTATGCATCGCCTTCAGCCTGTTGCTCAAAGCCTTGGTGAGGAAGAGAGGTTATAACTCCCAAGTCCAGCCACAGGTGAGCCTCATTTACAAGGATCCCCCCCCCCCCCGTATTAAAGGTCAGCCCTTTAAGAGCCCAGGAAACTGAGTACAGGCATGAAGTGGGGTAAATAAGTCCTGGTGTATGCCACTGGCCAGGTTCCCCAAGATCCTGCTCAGCTTTTCTACCTGGGGTGTCGTGAGCACCCCAGCATATCCCACCAAGGCTGGTGCATTGTGTGGCCAAAGACTCCACACCTCTGGGGACGCTCCCACAGCGCTGTGCGGGGACCCACAGCACCCTCAGCCACCCGGAGATGCTTCCGACGATCCGTGCTTCAGTGATGCTACGGATGGTCTCCCTGCTCGCCTTTTCTTGGGTGGTGTGTGCTCTTGCTTTGCTCTGTAGCTGGTGAGTGGCTCCTGCCTCCCTTTCCTACAGATGCCCTGGGTCAGGGCTCTGTGTCCCAGCATGCGTCACTGCGTGTCCGGTGACATCCCAGGGGACGCTGAATCCACACGGAATTACGGACACCAGGCTGCTCTCCTGGCCACGGAAAGTGCTGCTCCTCTGGGAAGTGGCACGGAGGAGACAGAGACTGCACACAGCAGGGAGGAGGCTTTGCAAATGTAGTGGCGACCTGCCCGTGTCCCTGTACCAGCGGTGTTTCATGTCCAGAGAGGCAGCTCTCCTGCTTCCCAGTGGCACTGTAGCTATTGTGTTAGTTCCTGAGAGCCGCCTCCTCCCAGGGCTCTGCTGGCGAGCCACTCACTGGGGAGCTCTGATTATACTGGCTTTTAATGCCTGGGGCAAGGGGTAGCAGAACACAGGACTGGGAAACCACCACGTTAAAATTTTTGTGTTGGATGCCCCACCACTTTCCCCAGGGCTTGGATAAATCACGAAACTTCTCTATTGTAATTTCCCACTCACTCTTAGGAGACCAAAAATAACTCATTCCTCAGTAGAATTACAAGGAATAGTAAGCTGCTGCTGCTGGAAGTGCATTCAAGTGACATCCGTGTTTTTCCCCTGCTCTGCTCTTCTTTCCTGGGTAGCTAGTGGGGGCTTTAAACATATTGAAACATCTTCAGCAAATTTTTAAAAATATTAATTACTTTCTTATTCTTAAATTAAATATTTTTCCCTATTGCTGCTTTAGAACAAACTAAGTGGAGATGTATTTGGAGGATTTCCAAGCTTTTATAGATTGTTCTCACCTTGTAAGTCATTTGGCTAAGAAAAAAGGGTTATAGGCAGTCTCATTACTCATTTATCAATCTCTGATCTTATCTGTACCTTGGAAAAACTGCTGGTCACTTTTCTAAGTTGCATTTTCTCATTAAAAAACACATAAGGATACAGCTCTCACTGGTCTCGTATAAGTGCTCCTGTAATTAGGGCTAATAGACTCAGCCCAAGCATTTTCCTAATAAGGCTAAAATGATTCCAGCACCCAAATTAGTAATCCAAAATCCATCTGATTTTTTTTTTTTTGCAAGGGGCACATTCTGCTCCATGGACATATAAGAGTTACTGTTACTGACCTAATATTTTTGCCTTTCCCAGCAGTAAATACAGAAAAAATTGCTGTGAACAAACTATCACTGGTGTAATCTGAGGCAAAAGATATGTCAAAAGAAATCAGGTATGTCATTTTTGCACAGAATGAGCTTGTGATGTGTCAGATAAGAGCACATTTTGGGATGCAGCAAACAAAAAACAACACTGTTTACACTGCTTTGTGGACATTTCTTGGACTGTAGAGAATGCAAGACCAGTGCTGAGGTGGGGCTGGGCTGGGAGCATAAGGAAGCGTGAAGGAATTGCCTGTTGGAATGGGGAGATGAATGAGTGATTCATATTACCCTAGGGCAATATTACAAAAGCTAAACTAACTTTGGGTTTGGTAGTTATAGTTCCTGACTGAGACTGTGTGAGAGACAGGACTTGTTTTATTGGCACACATGGTACCACGTTATTTAAGGAATATGAGAAGGTGCCAGTGCGGTGTAAAAACACAGCATGGGTACAGGTGCCCTTCAGGGCTGGGGAGACTTAGCAACTGCAGTGTTTGACAATACACCCTGCTTGGGGGTTGTGGTGACCTGAACTGTGAGGGAATGTGGAAATTATTGCCATCCTACTGACTGACTCAGTGTAGGAAGCTGCTGCCTGAGAAGCCATGTCCTCAGACAACTTCCCCTGCCCGGTCCCTGTTGGCTGCCCCACCACCACTGCAGTGAGCTAACACTGCTGGGGACATGTGGCACTCTGTCCTGCAGGCACAACACTGCATCTGAGATGCATTGTCACCTTTGGAAGAAATGGAACTGCTCCAAAACTACTAAATCTACAAGTGTTAATGAAATACTGAACAGGGTCTAAAGGAAGTTATGGGACCAAAGTCAGTAATTTTATTGGCATGGTGGATATGGTGGATTCACTTTGAACTTGAGGACACAACCATCTATTACACTGAAGGTGGAACTTTAGTCTGCACTTCATATTTACTGAAAGGCTTCCCTCTGTCCCTAGGGCCAGATTCAAATGTACATTCTTGTTGACTATTTCCTTTTGTTCCAGACAGATTGGAAAATCCTGGAGTCTTAGTGTGTTACTTTAAGATCAATAGGTAAGACCTATTCTTCTTTCCAAAGGTGGCTGAGACCTTTCTGTGTTGGCATTTCTACTGTCACAACTGTTAACTGTGGCCAGTGAGTAAATACGTTTAAAAGAAGTAAAAACACCTTTGCACATCATGCTCACTTAAATACTAGAAAAGGACTGTTGCAGAACATTGCCAAGTTTGTAAGAATGAAGTTGAAAATGTATTTAAACAAATTCATAAAGACTATATCCATTTCTGGATATTTATCCAAATATCTGAGTACAGCCTCAATTTGACAGAAATTTGAGAGAGAACATTGCAGAAGAGGCATCCTTCTAAACACACTTTGTTCTTACCTCCCCCATGTCAGCAAGGTAGCCATTTCATGATGCTTGGTTCCTGTTAGTCTGTGGCTAGCCTTTTCTAACTGGAAATCTAACAAAAGCTGAGATTGTCCCTTTTTCATCGTTCTCAAACCCCCATAACCAGAGGCAGAAAAGAAATGCCATTTGTTTGTGAGTCTGCTTGCCCTATAAGTGCCCTGACTGCCATGCCTGCTTTTCTTAGGAGGCAAAGGCTTTGCACAAGCTCTGTGGCATTTGCAGTATCAAACGGGGGAGGGAGAAGAGTCACTTTACTAAACTCTAAGTTTATAAGGCAGTGATAGCCATGTCTGAAAACAGACCTCCACTGTGACACAGTGGAACTCAGTGGACCACAGAGAGACCATCTGGCAGCTGAAGAAATTGAACGTGAATGGAACACTTCTTTTTGTCTGACAGCACCCCAACAGAGTGGCAAATACTGATCTTTTGTGGTGCAGTGATTGCATGAGCATTGGAGTTTTACTGCGATGACTGCGGTATTCTGCCTTTTGTTGTGAGTTGATCTCCTTCGTCACTGCTGTGCCTGCTCCACCTGATTCTTGACTCTGAGGGACATGTGGCAATATTTGCTTTGGGAAGCCCAGTGGGGAGCATTGCCTTCCTTAATTAAATCACTACATCCCAGAATCATGGAACACAAGGTTAAAAATAATAATAACAAAAAAAAGGATTATTAGATAATTGTGACTTTCTTTTAGATAGATTGTAGAATTTCAAAACCTTCTGTTCCCTACTGGAAACTGATGTCTGAGATGGGTGAGATGAGCCATACCTACAGACCCCTAGACTCCAGCTGAGCTGCAGCAGTAAGCGTTGCCAGTAGTAATGAGCAGTGGGAAAGAAGGGGTTTTAGAGCTGCATTTTTGGATGTAAAGATTGCCAAATGCAATGGTCACTTTCACAGTGGCACGTGTTGCAGACAGCAATGGGCACAGCCTCTTTGCTATTTGTCTGAATGGAGGTGGGGAGAGAAAAGATCTTGCTTGGATGCAGGTTATGGCTATTAGTTCTAAAATGTGATTAAAAAGCCTAGTTCATGTCAGCTGATATGGAGCATTGGAAGGTTATTTTGCTTGCATTTCGAACTTACTTATTTGGAACTTATCCAAGTTCCTACTTGGAAACATAGTATTCAAAGAAAGCACGACTATGAGAAAGCCCCTCCTAGCTTACAGCTATTTCAGTGTGGGAGGAAAACGGATATTGATTATGAAACCAGCATGCAGAAGGGCAGGAGTAGCCTCTTGAGCTGGGTGACCCAGCCTC